CCTCGAGGGTTTCCATTTTAATAATTGTATTTAAAAGCTTCCGAACTGTATAAATGGTTACGTCACTCTCATGTGACGGCCAGCATGCCCTCCTTCGGGACAGGGTGTGTCATTTTTTGGACTAGATCTCAATTGGAGATGGATTTTGAGTCAAAAATGGCTATTCTTTGGCCTATGATCCTATGACCAGCTCAAATAGAGATGACCTAACTCTCTCCTCTTAGCACAACTCTTTCAAGTTTTGTGATTAGACATGATAAAGGTCAATCTATCATTGTTGGAGAGCTTTGGACCAAGGTGAAACTACTATCTCAGTAGTAGAAGCCATGGCTTTGAGGGAAGCACTTAAATGTGCGAGACAAAAATGCTTGGTTTGGTACTGAGGTAATTCAAAACTGGTTATCAATACGGTTCAAGGACTTTGTGGGGTTCCTTGGAGACTTAGACCGATCATTGAGGACATTCGTTGGTTGACATCTTCTTTCTCGTTGGTCAAATGGACTCATATATTTAGGGAAACAAACTTTGTAGCAAATGTCATTGTGAGTGATCTTTCTCTTCAAACTATGCATATTTGGGATACATGTATTCATGATATGGCCTATAGTGCTTTTATTTTCGATGGTTTTTTTTTTTTTTTTGGGTCGAAATATAAGAATTTATTAGAATGAAATACAAACAGTTATATTTACATTTTATGCTAAAATATTAAATACAACAGTTTCTTTTCGATGGTATTGGTATTGGTTGTATGTTAGGCTTTTCTCTTTAAATGAACTTTTTATTTATATTATAAAAATTTTCAGATTCTTTTCATGGAATTTATAAATTATAATCTTATCCGATTCCATTTCTAAATTAAAAAAAAAAAAAATTGAAAACATTCATTCCCAAACGCAGATAAGGAAGCCAGCATGGGTTTCATGGATAAACAATGACATGGTATGGTCTCCGTATCCGTCTTGCTAAGGATCACAAGTGGACACATCGTCACCCCGCACGTAATTACGAATTGATTGAGTAATTAATTACGGAAATGACACCTCCCATTTTAGCATTTAGCATCCATTGCCGCCCTGCAAGCCATCTTCTTCTTCTCTGAAACTCTCTCTCTCCCCCTATCTCTCTCTTTCTCTCTCTGTCTAAACAAAGGAACCAGTGAATATGCAAAGGCTATTTGCTGCGAGGTCTACATGCGCTGCGATTGTCAGAAATCAGAGAAAGTTTGCTTCTTTTTCTACCGCCTTACTCTTCGATGATACTCAGATTCAGGTCCTTCCTTCTCTCTCTCTCTCTCTCTCTATATATATATATATATATATATGTATATATGTATGAGTTAAAATTAGAAAACTTTCAAGAACAATCTCGAAATCTCCGTTCAGTGATGGAAGCCTAATGTAGCAGACGACTGAAGTGATTACTGTGGTAAATAAAAGTTGTTTCCTTTTTTATTTGAAACGGTCAATTTAGCAGGTGGAGAGTAAAAATTAGATTGCTCCCAGATAAAAATAGGAGCCCATTTGAAAATTCATGTATTCAGTAGTGTTCTTTTGACCTCTGTCAATTCTCTCTCTCTACATATGTGTTCATATATATGAATCAAATTCCAAAGTAGGAACATTGCTGATTCAGCCAGACGATTGTAGTTTTCGTCTGTTTCGATTGGAGTGGTCAATTTAGCAGGAGGAGAGTACAATTAGAGGGGTCCCAGAGTACAATTTATATGTTATTCAGCTCTGTGTGACTCTGTGAATTAACTGTCTTTCTTTTTCTTTTTGTTGGTTTGTTATGAATGCAGTTTAAAGAAAGTGTTGCTCAGTTTGCACAAGAAAACATCGCCCCTCATGCGTCGAAAATAGACCACACAAATTATTTACCTCAGGAGGTCAACTTATGGAAACTCATGGGGGATTTTAATCTTCATGGAATTACTGCACCAGGTAGAGTTTTCACCATACATATATGAGCTCTACTTATTACTTGGTTTAAATTCTATTGGAGATTTTGATTGTCTTATCTTTTCAAAGTTTTTTCTAATTAGTGTTTGTGTAGAGAGGCATGTTTTTAGTGTGAATGTGATGATGCTATGTGTTTGTACCTTTACCTTTATTCTCTGAAGCTTTCCTTTTCCTTCTTTGTTGTTTTAATTGAAAACATATATCAAGGATGAATTTTTCTTTGGGCGTGCTTCTACCCACGACATTTTTGGCTTTCCGTTGTTTAGGGTCATGAGGTCTCTATATTAATTTGTAGTGTAGGATTCCGTGAGATAGCAAAATAAGCTGTTCCCAAAGAACCTAATATTTATTTTGAACAGGGGGCACTGAATTGTTATTCCAAGTATATGATGAAAGGTCATACTGTAAATTAAAGTTCATGCAGGATGCCGTGTTATTTAATGCAAAAGTTTTCATGACTTTTTTGTTGGTACTAAGAGACTTAATATTCATTCACAAACTGTTGTAGAATCGTGAGAATTTTCGTTCATTGGTTTGGTAGTATGGGTAAAAATTAATGGGAATAAGGAAGAGAAGGGAAAAGATATCAATGCTCTATTGATCTTGTTGGTTGGTAGAAGGAAGTTATCAAGTAATGAAATGGTTAGATTGATTTATGAAGAATCTTTGCATTGTCATTTCTCTTTCCTTCTCCAATCATATTTATGCATATCATTCAATATACTGCAGATTCATGAATTTAGAAATTTGACTATGGGTTTTCTTGTAGAGGAATACGGAGGTCTTGGTCTTGGTTACTTGTATCACTGTATAGCTATGGAAGAAATAAGCCGTGCTTCAGGGTCTGTTGGCCTCTCATACGGTGCCCATTCTAACCTGTGCATCAATCAATTGGTAAACATAAGACCGAGTTCATTTGTGATAACATGTGCTCGTATCTCATAAGTTTTTACTCTACCATTGATTCATTTGTTGTTTGTTTGTTTTGGTAGGTGAGGCATGGAAACCCTACTCAGAAACAGAAGTATTTGCCAAAGGTTCCATTTTCATTTGATTAAATATTTAAGTATGCGTAGTGTAATGTAGTGTAGTATTTACAGTTTTCAGATATGCTTAATTATAGATGACGAGTTCTATCTACCCACTATGTGCATTGCAATTTTTAGTTTGTAAAGCATTTCAACATCTTTCTACACCGTAAACTGATTTTTTTTTTTAATAATAAAAATTTGCCTCACATGTTATTGCTTACTGTTTTGGTTGGCACCACTCATTCAAACACTAATTTTATTCACCGGCTTCAACCACATAAGCATGAGATGGTGAAGGATTTCTGACCCAGCAATTATTCGGTTTTGAACTTTTGAGTCATTTATCAACTGTTTATGTGCGGGTCAAGCAGTGTATACTAATTAAATATTGATCAGAAAACTTCCTGGGTATCCTTGTTCCTTCCCACTTATTTTCAGACCAATACCAGTGGTCATTCGTTATGTTGCATGAATCTGTCTTTCCTCTGTTCTAGGTTATTTCTTAATATTGTTAATTTTCAAATTCTTCTATTTCTTTTGACTAAAAAATTCTAATTATTTATGTAGCTTATCAGTGGAGAGCATATAGGGGCTCTTGCAATGAGTGAACCCAATGGTAACTTATGTGTACTACCCCACATGTTTCATCTTGTATTTACTTTCTGTGTATAATCTAGGTTTCCTTAAGTTGATTAGGCTGACCCCCTCTCTCTCTTCCAGCTGGTTCTGACGTTGTTAGCATGAAATGCAAGGCTGATCGAGTAGATGGGGGTTATGTCTTAAATGGGAACAAGATGTGGTGCACCAATGGCCCAGTTGCTCAAACATTGGTATGTTTGTTAGAATCTCTGTCTTTTAGCTATTACTGGCTTTTGTCACCACTCTATGTGAAATTCAGTCAAGCAACATTACGCTATACCTTTGTTAAGTAGCATGCGCTTCCAACATCATTTTTAATGAATGCTAGAGATTGAGAATTTTCTACAGCTTTATTTAGGATTAAGGACTTTTAAAGTAGGGAAATGCACAAGATGATGCTGTATGCTGCAATCTCTTGATGATCATTAACATACCACGCATGCTCCCAAGATTTGTGTGTCATCATTGAACTGCAGAAGACATGGACCTTCATTGCTTAAGATGCTATTGCCAATGCCATACATACATGTGAAGGTTTAAGTTTTATCACATACGATTGCTAAGAGATGAAGCTGTCAATAGCATATATTCTATAGTATATCACCTTATAATTGTTAACATTTTATATCGGGCCCACTTCATTAGGAGTCATCATTTAGTGTGTTGCTATTAGTATGGAATCTTCAATGCAGTTTCTGCACCATACCCACTTTAATGGTACTAAATTTACATTTCTGTTAGTATAATCTCATTGTAAAGTTCGTAAATATAAAACCTTTAGATATATGTATGTGTGTACATATGAATTTATCATATCGTTTAACTGATATTTAGAGTTCCATCAGGTTATTTATGCAAAAACAGACATCGCAGCGGGCTCAAAAGGAATCACAGCATTCATCATTGAGAAAGGAACACCCGGGTCCGTTCACATAGCTATATTCTGGTTGAAACCAGATGTACATACGCATAAGCTAGTAATAATAAAGAGCCCTCTAAGTTGATATAGAGTTAAGAGTGTCCACCTGCCTTCTAGTAAAATGTTTAGGAAAGTATCCTTACATATTGCTTTCTGAATAACATACATCTTCAATCTTGCTTGATGTATATCAATGAAAACTTTCTAATGTGACACCAATCTCCCAAAATAGGTTGGACACAGGAGAATAAAATGATTCCTGCTTGAATTACATAAAATGAAAGTATTCTAACAAAGTGCAATCGGAATATTATGAAATCTCTCTTTTTTATGAAGTTATTTATGCCCGTGCAGATTCAGTACCGCCCAGAAATTAGACAAACTTGGCATGCGAGGAAGTGATACGTACGTTGGCAATGCTTTAAGTGAAATTATCTGTATCTGGAGTCCATTCTCTCTTCTTTTGCTCTTTTTTCTACTAAATTACTAATAGCGGCAATGCTCTGAGCAGATGTGAACTTGTCTTTGAGAACTGCTTTGTTCCAGAAGAAAATGTTCTCGGGCAGGAAGGAAAAGGTGTAGTGATGCTTTTATTACAACTTTGTTATTGGAAGGAAAGATCATTTGGATTGGTTGCATGTTAAAATTCGCAGCAAGAATTGATATGTTAGACATAACCTGATTGCTCATCTGTCGTATGGCTTCTGAGCTGCTGTTTAGTATTAGGGTGATCAAAATTTACCATTAGCAAAGACTTTCACCATGGGACTTATTCCTGTATTGCTGGAACTGCTCAACCAGACTTGTTCTGGTAATATATGATGCCAACAGTTTTGTTGCGCCACTGGCCTCCCAGATTATCACCTAAAGCAAATAGACGACTTTATGCTTGTAGTTTGAATGATAAGTTGATTACTCTTTGATTCTTGAGAAAAATGGTCTGTAGACGAGAAATTAATTGGATCCCATGACAACTCTTGTTGAATGTAGATACGGTTGATATTGGAATAAGAAGTAGCATCTTTGGTTTGTCAATTATTATCATTTATCCTAAACACATAGGTGTTGGTAGAATGAGTGTGTTATGCTGTAGTGAATATGCTTCAGATGTGGAGAAAAATTCTGCTTCCATCATATCACTTTACCAGAACATTGTTATTGCCCTTTCTTTCAGGTGTCTATGTCATGATGTCAGGGCTGGATCTAGAGAGGCTTGTTTTAGCAGGTGGGCCCCTGGGTATTATGCAGGCATGTATGGATGCTGTCCTTCCTTATGTTCAACAGCGAGAGCAGTTTGGCCGACCCATTGGAGAATTTCAGCTTATACAGGTTTGTTGTTGTATTTCACAACTAGTCTTACTGTTTTCTAGCATTGTATTTGAATCATACCCTTTATGTGCTAATGGGCTTTCAATTCCAGGGGAAACTTGCTGACATGTATACCTCTTTGCAATCATCAAGGTAATGGATTCGTATTATTTCTTGGACTGCCTTTTCTTTCTTCTAATATTCAAATGGTAACAGAGTTATCCATCTCTTTCTTCCTCTCTCCCCTTCGTTTTCAGGTCCTACGTGTATTCTGTTGCAAGGGAGTGTGACAATGGAAAAATTGACCCTAAGGTGCTGTTGGTGTTTCTGAATTCTTTTTTCACTTTAGTTTGTGATCTTACAAGTTCGTCTTTGCATTTGGCAAAAAATGATTTGGCTTAGGCAAACAATAACTCTTCTAGGTACGAATTTTCAGGATTGTGCTGGAGTTATACTATGTACGGCTGAAAGAGCCACGCAGGTTGCTTTGCAGGTAAAAGATTCTGCACAAATTCCATTTGATCTCTTACTTGTGCAGATGTATAATTTTTCTACTCAAACATAAACCTCATTCAGGCTCATTCAGGCCAATCAATATAGTCCTAGCTTGGCCAGACGAACAGTATTCTACATATTGCTCGAATGCCCATAACAAAGTTAATAATTTTCGTTGCCATGATTTTTTCCGAGAGTTTATCATAACTAGAACCGGGATCTGTAGAATAGTCAGAGCTGTGCATGATAACCTTACAACTGCTCTGAACAAATGTAGTTGAACGTTGCAGGCTATACAATGCTTAGGTGGTAACGGTTATGTCAATGAGTACCCAACTGGGCGGCTCCTTCGAGATGCCAAACTGTATGAGATTGGAGCTGGGACTAGTGAGATCAGAAGGATGATAATAGGCCGTGCGCTATTTAAGGATCAGTGAGAGACGATGCATGTGCTCAATTTCTGAGCTGAAATATTTGCAGCTCTTGAGCACTGCATTCAAGATACTCCAGATGTTGCAGTCAGCCATTTGAGTTTCCTTCACTCACAGATTACAGAATACAGAATCACCAAGGTTCGTAGTTACTGGTGTATCCATGATCGGTAAACAAATGGCCGACCGATTGATGATACTTGGTCGTTCATAGTTTTAGTAACTGATGTATCCATGATCAGAAAACGCGAATCGAGTTTTCTTCGGGTAATAAAAACAGTAAAAGTACGGAAATTTGATTTGCTTTTTCACTTTGCTTACCATGTTCATCGTCTTTACCCATGGTAGCAATGAGGTTCAGCAGTCGTTGAATTCAGAGTTCGTTTCATCTCTGTCAGGCAGCATGATCTATAAGTTGGAAACCTAGAGAAAAAAATTAACAGCACACATCCAACAATTTATACTCATAAAATGTCACAGTACTAGGTAATCAAATGTCAACCGGAAAGAGGTTGATCCCCGAAGGCCAAACGTGTCTCAACCGGAAAGAGGTTGATCGCTCGAAGGCCGTAGGTGTCTCGTTTTCAAGACTACGATAACCGGAACTACATAACTTAGGCCTCGGAACTCCATAAAATACATAATTAGGTTCTGGTGCATATGCAGACTTAAGATTACAACAACACAATGGCAACACTGAATTTTATTCATGTTTAGACCCGGATTACTGTTGGGGAAGAATCCGGCTGGCTCACGGATGAGGACTTTGACACTTCAAGCATGACCGGCGCTTGTTCCAAACTGCTTTGAGTATCATCGCTGATCATTCCGATGGTCATCTTCTCCACTTCTTCCTGGGTATATATATGGATTTTGGAGACCACATTGCAAAACTCGCTGCATCAAGAACCCATCATTTCCGAAAGGTCATATACAAAAAGTATTAATATGGACTCCTCAGAAACACAGATTAGTTAAGATGCATGAGTTTATCGTGCAAAAGAACTAGGTACGGATAAAATTTTGCTTCAGAGAGAGACTTACTGCCATGGGTCATCCCCAACAACCATCACATCGTTCTCGCTATCAGTGTACAAGATCCGCCATCCTTCATCAGAATCTCGAAGAAGGCCTTCCATGCCAAATAGCCGCTCCAGTTCAGTCAGCAGGTCCCCATAGCCATTCAGTTTCGCGAGATCAATGGCTCTTCCCACTAGGCTGCCTTGCTTGTGAACCTTCACTCAATATATGTAACATCAGTTGGCAAAGATGTCCAAGGCATGGCAAGTTACAGTCCAACCTGAGGGCTACTATAGCTTACCTTTGTACAACTCCGCTTACTGGAACTCTGAGAGTTTGGAGTGGGATTTTCCCCAGTCAAGGAAAAACCAAAAAGTTTACACCCAGTTACAGTCCCGTTATAGTCTTCATCATTTGGATTTCTTGGATTTGGTACTAAAGCGGGAAGCGCAGAAGTACTCTCCTGTGTCTTATGCTCACTAGGTTTATTTGGCCGTCCAACTTCATTTCTTGTAACTCCCATCTGCACAGTATATGGGTTGATTTGCATATTCTCTCTGGGTAAGTTAGTAGCATTAGAGCACATCGTGGGTTCTTGGCCGGCTCTGTGAACGTCACCATAAGGAAAGTACATATTTGGAAGGGATTCAGAAGCTAGAGAGAAATGATTTGGTTTGGGCGGTTGATAAACGTTGAAAGGTGTGCAACCAATGTTGGATTCCCAATCACCTAGGGTGAAATTTGCTTTTCCTGTCAACGATCTCAACGGGCATATTTCTTGACCTTGCAAGACTTTTGGAAATCTATCAGACTCCGCAAATCCTGTGTAAGAGGTGTGGCGAGCCCTCATAAGCTCATCAATAGTAGCCTTCTGTGTTGCATTTGATGCAAGACTTAGATGTGCCGGGGCATGCATCTCAAAATCTTGCGAGCGGTTTACAGTATCACACCCATAGAGGGGTGATATGAAACCTATATTTTCTTGACCTTGCAAGACCTTAGAGGATTTAACTGATTCCTCAAAGTCCTTAAACCCAGCCCCTCCAGCTGCAAGAAAATTCACTTATTGAGGACAAATGAGTAATGTGAAAAATGCTCGCGATGTTACTGGGGAGTATTGTACCAGTGATGGAGTGGATGGGTTGGGTTCCCTGCAGACTTGTCCGCAGTTTCTTCAGTCTTGGAGAAGACTGAATGTTCATAGGTGGGAGAGAAGCAGAAGGATCAACCTCCCATGGCGAGACTCGATCTTGATGATCATTTCCTATATCTTCATCCCATCTAACCTGGTAAGCATAAAAATAAAGGTGTAAATATCAGAATTTCTGCAATACCGCAGTAATAGAAATATAGTTTGTGAAGTTGTCAATTCTTTACACAAAGTGCAAATGCAGTGCATGTATAAATACATTTCAATAAATCAGCAGTGCCAATTGATACATTCTGCACAAGTACTATAAATGAAAGATAATGTAAGGTACTAATTCAATGATAGCACCAAATAATGCAAATCATGAAATTAAAATACAATGACGGGAACAATTTATGAATAACGTTTGGCACGCAGTTCATTATTGGCCTAATGAAAGGAAAATAAAATACGAAGCATACCATCAAGCATCTCCATTTTGAGTTTGGCCATCGAAACGGATCCAAGTCAGCGATACCTGTCACTACACCACTACACCTACAAGAAACCAAAATCTGTATTGTCCAATAGAAAGTCTAACAAGGAATACAGGCTGGCCATGCCGTTGAATCAACTTATAAATACCTTTTTTCAGGTGAATCATCCCTATCGAATCTCATTTTGAATCTTGTCCCAGAGGTCACTGGATTAGCGATGCTTCTGACATATTTTTGGTAGGGAATGACAAACTCTGAACGGCTTGCTCTGCATCACAGAAATTTAAACAATTTAGAAAGATTCTGTCAATGCCTAGGAAAATGCATAAGCTGGTCCATGCATGTTTACGAATCTCAGTGAAAGAAATATCTGTTCTTGTTTTTGTAAGAACTTTGATTACAGGTTAAAAAAAATGTTTGATTGATAGATGATTTGAGCAAATGAAAAGAGAGGTCACTGCCATTAAGCATACAATGAATGAAAGTAACCATACCCATCTAAAGAAAGAATAATACTTAGAGAACCGTATGCACAAAATACAGGACGAACAACTTGGTAGATTCTGAAGTCAAAAATACACAACACATGATAATATTTCCAAAGGGCCCTTGTACTACCTTGGACTGTAGAATACATGAAACATGCTCTTGGTGGATATTGCATTAGCCACGAGAGAAAGAACACTGGGATAAGTATTCTGGTTTCCTACAACTGAATCAGGAAGACAATTTCTTGGTCGAACAGCTTTTCTAATTCCCAACCTTAGCTCTCCGTTTTCACCCCTACAAAGACCATTGTAAATCGTTCAAGTTATCGAGGTTAGCAGACAATGAAAAAGTCAAGGAAAGTTTTAGCTCCACATAGAAGTCAAATTATTCTTGTTCCAAAGACATAATATTTTTTCATGATAGAACACATATATAAGTTTATATTGTATCACGTGTGAACCTATTTTCACCTTTGGACGTAAAGAAGTATTTGCATTTCAACAAAAAGAGATTCTGATGAATAGAAGCATACATGTATATAATCAATCAAGTACTATACGGAAAATTAACACTTTTACAATTCCTAGTAATGTTTAATAGCTTCTTGACAAAGAGATCTCCGAACAAAGGAAAAAATAGGCGTTAACATCATTCATATAAGAGGCCTATATTTTGGCCACTTCTCGCCTTTTAAAAGATCAAATGAGCCTTCCAATTGGTAAACAAACAAATTTGAATGATTACAAAGCCATGCCGAGTTGCCACAAAAATAGTCAATTAATTGCAGTTACCTCAAAAATAGCACAGCATCACCCGATACAAGATTCTTTTGGCTTATGAATATACTCCATCCAGTAGTGAGCAAATGTCGCCTTGGCTGGCCTGATGAGCAGAACTCACAGAATTGTATCAATTTAATCCTCAGTGAAACTACACAAAGGAATTGCAAATAGTTTACCTCTATAAATATGCCGAAACCTCCACTCCACCCCATGAAGGTCCTTTGCAACAAGCTCTTGAGAGGGCCTCTGCTGCTTATAGTCCTACCAAAAAAATAAACAAAATCTATTAAAAGTTACAAAAGCTAAAAGCTCGTCTACGAAGACCGGATAAAAATAAAAGCATTGATTCATACCAAAGGAGGGAAACAGTCTTCAGCAGCTCTGCGAGGAACAGAGAACCCTCCGTGGGTACTGGTATCGGAAGCTGTAAGCGTTTTGCAGAACATGTGAGGGGTTGATTTTGTAGGTGATCCTCCATCCCCCTCATCCACTCCCAACTCTTCAAGCTCTTTCCCTTCCAAATTTGTTCCTGCAAACTACAGAATTCCCCCAATCCACATCCTAATTAGTAATTATAACCACCATAAAAGGATAAAACTCAGCAGCCTCTACCATAAAACAGCATTCCAACACAAAGTGTACAACCATAAAAACTCAAGAATTCACATTGACCAATTCCACTCCAAATTTAAGTGTCAACAAAAATCATACCTCAGGCTGAGGAAGCAAAGTGACATGTGTGTAGACCTCATCATTCTCCTTGTTAGCCTGTTAATTCAAGAAACAACAAATTCAATAACCAAAACATATTTGGAAAAAAAATGGAAATTTAAATTTTATATGGAAGGTACTTACAAGCAGCTGGACATTGACAACCTTGCAGAAGATCTGAGGGTGGAGATCAAAGGTGGGCATCTCCATGGGAGAGAAAGGGGAGGAGGAGGCAACTTGCTCCAAGTGGCCTTGTGGGAAGTAGACAACCACATTCCCTTTCTTGGGGAGTGAGATGAGAGGGCCAGCACATGCATGCCAAAGCTCCAGATAAATTGAGGAAGCCACAGGAGCTGAGGATGAATTGGAAGAAGATGAAGAAGTTGAAGAGGACAAGCAAAAAACACAAACACCACCACAATCCCCATTGCAATAAGCATTCTTCTCCACCTCACTCACTGCATGGTTCAGATCAATTTCCATGAATGCTCCCCAGAATTGCTCAGAAAAAAAAAAGTGCTTCCCAGATAAGCAGTTCCACCAGAAAATTTGACAAGAAAATGAGTAACCAAATGGAAAAAGTGAGGTGAACCCAAAAAGCAGAAATGGAAAGTTGGAAATGGGGAGGCGAAACTCAAATCAGTTCAAGGAATTTTGATGATTTAAAGGGAACCCACAAAGCCAAAAGAGGA